GGCTGTTTTGGAGTTGGGGTCTCTGAGGAAGCGGGATGCAAGTGCCTCACCTGCTCTCAGCTTCTCCCACCGCAGTGGGATCACAACGTCACCTTGCCAGCCTCCGAAATGCTGCAAACCCAAGCTCCGAAAGCTGGGATGTTTGCAGGGCAGGTGATGCCACGAGGTGGATGAGGACCATCCCGGGGCCTTGTCCATCCTCATCTCGTGGGGCTGTCTCTCTGCTGCAGGAGATTGCCCAGATCAACGAGGATAACTTGACAGCGTACAACCGCTGCGCGCTCTTTGCCCTCGGTGCAGCTTACCTGAACCTCATCAGCCAGCTCACCACCGTGCCCACCTTCTGCCAGCACATCCACGAGGTGCGAGGGAGGGGCTGGGGACGGGGCTGGAGCCTTGTCCGTGGCAGCTCTGGCATCGGCTCTCCTGGCCACCCATGGGGTTTGAGCTTGGCTCCTTGCTTGTCTTCTCCAGGTCATCCAGATGCGGCAGAAGGAAGCTCCCTATCTGCTCCCTGAAGATGTGTTTGTGGAGAGACCCAGGTAAGAGCCTGGAAAATACCTTCTTCCCCACTACCTGCTCCTGAGGGATTGGCATCCGTAAGATCGTGGGCGATAATGGGTTCATCAGCCCTGTGCCTGCCTCTGCTTGTCTCCTTTCCCATCTGGGGATGGCACAGTGGGAAGGACATCAAGAGTTTTTCAGCCTGTTTAGAATCTGAGGAGGATCCCATGTAGCCAGGGAAGGGGGTGGCTTGTGCTCACAGCCAGCCAAATGCCGGGATCAGCTCTGCGGGCTGATCCCTCCCCTCGTTTGACAGCAGGATGGGTGTAGATCTGCTACATCATCCCGCTGCCCTGCCCTGCCACCCGCTTGATGACACCTGCTGCGTGCTGAGCATCCCCAGGGCAAGGCTGCCCGGGCTGTCCCCATCCTTTGGCACGGGTCACATTTGGTGGTGAGGTCCCTTACGGGGACGCTGCCCCCAGTGAGTCCCGCTTCCATGGGTCAGGGTGGTCCCTCCTGAGTGCATCCGTATCCTTTGTGAAGGATCGAGAGCCCTTCTGGGACTCAGGCTTTGTGCTGGTGTGCGCAGAAATAGCACGATGTATCCAGCTGTGCTGGAGCTAAGCGAAGCCATGAGAGCATTCTGTTTCTGACCCGAAGGGACTGGAAACCCTGCTGACAGTTCCCCTAGCAGGAGAGATGCTGCCATCTCCATTGGTTTTTCTCCATCTCCATAGGTTGAGCAAGAGCCTTGACCGTCTGGGCCCGGAGGTCTTCTTCTGGCAGAGCAAGATCAGCGAGGTGCTGGGCGGCAGCGGTTACAATTCGGATCGGCTCAGCACACCCTATATCCCCCAGCTGACGGGTACACACCACCCTGGGGCATCCCGGAGAACTGGGAGGGGAAGGAAACTGGTCCCTTGCTCTGTGCCGTTATGGGGATGTGAAGTTCTTGTGCTACACGTGGGCATGTTGTTTTTCTACCCTCCTTTAGAGGTGTAGCCTTGGGGGAAACTGAGGCACAAAGCAGTGAATCGGAAGCTTCCTAAGGTTGCCACGTGTGTGGCTGGCTGGCTGGAAGGAGCAGTGAAGCCCGCTGGGCTTGGCTCAGTCCCCAGTTCTGCTGGTTTGGATGCATTTGGGGGAATGGCTGAGCAGATGGACTGCTACCCTGGGCATGGGTCGTGAGGCTGTGTTCCCTCTGCTCACCCCACTGCCCCCAGGGTGGCTGTGATTATCTCGTCTCCCCTTTTCCTCCCCAGATGAAGATCGCTTGTCCAAAAGAAAGAGCATTGGCGAGACCATTTCCCTGCAGGTCGAGGTGGAGTCGAGAAACAGTCCTGAGCGAGAGCAGGTACCGTGTTACGCCAGAGCCGCAGGGGCTGCATCATCCCTTCAGCACTGTGTGCTTTAGCCGCCTGACAGCGTGCGGTTAAGCCCTCTCTAATTCTTCATTCGGCTGCATGCATAATTGCTCCGCTGGCTGCAAGTGCAGGGGCACATAACTCAGCCCCAGTGTGTCTGGCAGTGAGCGGGGTCAGAAAAACCCCAATTACCTTGCTTTGGG